GTAAAAGATTAAAAAGATACTCCATACGATCCAAAAAGGAGGCAATGACTAGGTGGGTTTTATATCTTAATTTACGTACCGAAATCGATTTTTTCATTTGCACACCATGGCAGAACACAACACATGTAAACGTGTAAACTTGTAATTTGAAGCAGTTCAATTGTAAATCAAGAATTGTATCTTTTTACGCAATATAGAAAGTATTCGGGTCGACAGGAACAAATGTTTTTCACCGTGTAAGAAGTTTATATTCTCCCAGGTATAAAAATCATAAAGCCTTAAATATAGTAAGGGAGGTTTAGGAAGAGGTGGGTTGATATTGATCATTTTTACTGAGATCTTGTTTTAGTGGAAATATTCGAATGTGTGATTTTTTTTCGCATTTTATGAGCGTTTTGATTATTCGAAATTTTAACCCCTTTGTGGGAGATTTACCAGAAGAAGTGGACCAACATCTACCATTTACATAACAGACCTTGTGTTAGTAGAAATATTGGAATATGCGAAGTTTAGACTGAATCAGACGCTTAGTTCGCACTTTATGAGAGATATAATCATTCAAAATGTTGACCCCTTGTGGGGGTTAATTAAAATATTGTAATGTGTACGATTTGAAGAGAATTTGTTGTTTATTACCCACTTCATGAGAGATATAAGTATTCAAAATTTTAACCCGTTGTGTGGGAGGAATGGTCAGAGATATTTCATATTCATACCAAATCTTGTGTTTGTAGAAATATTGGGATGCACAAGTTGAAGACAATCGGACTCTTATTTCACATTTTGTAAGAGAAATAATTATTAAAAATGTTGACCCGTTGTGTGAGAGATACTTGATGGAGTGGACCAGTATTGTTCATTTTCGCATATTAGGACTTGCAATGTTTGAACGAATTTGGATCACCCATTCTCTTTTTATGAAGCAATAAAATATTTTCTTTAAAAAATTTTAATTTTTTGTGGGGAAGGCATCGGAAGGATCCGAACTCGATCTATGTCTGACAATAATATAAGCATCTACATCCAAGTTTGTACCAACTTGGATACTCCCATTGATAGTTATCGTGCGTTCCAGCCAGACAGACGGACACTTCTAAATCGAATCCAAATGTCCTGAAACGGATTTGGTCCAAAGAGACCTAGGATCTAAAACTGTTATTTCGATGAGACACGTTTTGGCCGTATCAAATGATATGGCTAGGCTGAGGGTATAATGAGCGGTTAGTAATATGTTCTCCCTACCCTAGGCTCCACAAGGAGTTGTATTCAACATTTTAGCCCAAGAACACATCTTTTTACTGTCGATACTGAGCGAACGTAGGATCATTTGGCAACATAAAATTCTAATTTGCGCAATATCAAAAATCGAATTTTTCCTTTTTAATTTGAAATATTACATTTGAAAAAATATTCCTTAGCGCAAAATTCCTGATTTAGCGCTTAAATATTTAAAATTCAGATAAGTTGCTAAATTTTGCATAGATTTATCAGGCGCCTATAGAGAATTCCGGCCACAATATGAAGTACATGGTTTGAAGTTTAAGTGTAGCCTCCAATGCATTCGAGAGCAAGATGAATGTATCAGCAAGTATCTAGGCATCTATGAAGTCTCATTTGGAGGAAATATCGGAATTGGAATAACTAATCTAACTTTTGTCGGTACAGTGCATCAGTCATTTCACTCACTGTGCACCGTAAACAATTCATTTTCTCCACCCATTTCGGCATCAATTTGCCATAGTTTTAGGAATTTCTTGAAATTCTTTTATTGACAAAACTTTCGCCATTCATTGTCATTGCAGCTGCAGTTGAATGAAGTACTGCCAAAAACAAAAATAAACTTTTCATCTGCTCTCTTTTGGCGAACATTGACGTTTACTTCGTCTGTCTTTATTCTTTATTGTCGTTTTCGTTTTATTACAACGAAGATATGACACAGACAAGACGCGGAGTAAGTTCCGTTCTTCGACTGGCTTTTGTTTGTGTCAATAAATGTACCATAAATTATTGACTTCTTTGTTGCTGTTCTCGGGACCCATGTGTGGTGGGGGGGCACTGTGGAGTTTCTTCCGTAAGGCTTCATCATTTTTTTTTTATACAGATGTGTGGCACACACATCCTCAGTAAGTCCCATCTCATGCTTACTTAACATCCAATCTGAATTGCCATTTTTATGATGCTCATTTCGACTCCAATTACTGACTGGGTCCTGGATACTCTATCGAGTGCAGACAAATTTAATACTTATTTATATATTTGCTCTGAATTGATATTTAACAGCTTCGTTTTGGCATTGCGTCGAAGCAGCTCAACATTGATTGACCGGGAACTGAAATTCCCTGCTCAGTAGTGGCTGCAGACGTGCATTCAACCACAAATTATTTGCTTTAATGGATGGATAATTAATTGCTGTAATGGCCTTGTTTTTTATTGTTCTGTGCCAAAAGGCAAACAAAAAAGGAAAAAAAAGAAAAATTTCGAAAAGAGATAAGCAAAAATGGACCAGTAATTGCAGTGGAAAGAAGGCTTATAAACAAAAACAGAACTACAATTACACAACGAAATGGAACGGAAAAATCCAAAGTTAAATGAACATTGATTGCAAATTTGATCTCATTTTAATTAAGAGTTGTAAGTGAAAAGGAAAATGAGGAAAACCCCGATATTGGAATGAAAAGATAAGAAAAAATTAATTTCCACATATGTTATAATCTAGATACATTGCTCTGTTCCTAAAATTCGTTTTTAAAAGCGAAAATGCTCTATTTAAGAGGAAGGAAAAATATATGAAATTGGATAAGGCCTATTTACGCTATTTTAAAATTGCTTGCAGTTTAGAAAAAAAATGTATGTCAAGTCGGTTGAAATATATTTTCGAGCTATATCTAAATGGGAAAATTTGTTTTTTATTCTAAGATAGGCGAAAATGTGTAATTTCTAATAAAAAAAAAACACAAGAAAATTTCTTTTTTGGCGCACTATCCTCTCCAATATTTTGACCTATTTCTTTGGTTACTTTGAAAAGATTTGAGACACTTTAGATCCGTTCAATATTTATTTTTTATTTCCATTCCAATCAATATTTTAGAAATTAAAGATGTTAACAATGTGTGTTTGGCCAAAAAAGTCTGAGTTCGAAAGATCGCGAGGCCCACTATAAGATTCATTGAGAAACAATTTTAATTTAGTTCTCAGAACTTCGGAAAATCATTAAAAATTCCCAATTTCAAACTCTTGTTATACCCTCCACCATTCTATGGAGGGTATATTAGCTTTTTCATTCCGTCATAACTACTCGAAATATTCATAATAGACCCTGCAAATTATTTATATTCTGGATCAGCGTAAAATTCTAAGACGATCTAGCGATGTCCGTCTGTCTCTCTGTCCATCCGTCTGTTGTAATCAAGGTATCTTTTGAACGAATTGAGATAGAAGGCAAAGATTTTGCATACATGCATAGTTGACCAATAGGCAGGTTAAGTTCGTAAATGGGCCATGTCGGTCCACGTTTTCGTAAAACCCCCATATAACAGTACCTCCCGGTATTCGGCATTTTCATGATATTAGCGAGAGTATTTACCGGAATTATTTCAAATTTCATATTTAAAGTTCGTACGGTTACTACAGCCTATGACAAAAATGTTTGTATGCAGTTCTACGTCTTCGCATAGCCCCCATGTAACAGTACCACCCGATATTTGGTATTTTGATGATTTCAGCAACACCGAAATCGTTTGTATTGGCAGATCTTAATGGTTACTACAGCCTATGAAAAAAATTCGTATGTATGTTCCCGTCTTCGCATAACCCCCATATAATAGTACCCCCTGATACTCGGTATTTTTAAGATTTTTCGACGTTATTCACTGGAATTGTAACAAGTTTCGCATTTAAAGTTCGTAATGGGTACTACAGCCTATGACAAGAACATTTTGTAAGCGGATCCACGTCTTTGTACTGTCCTCATATAACGGAATTCATTTAAGTGGTCGTTTTCGGTTTTTTTTTTTAATTTTTTCAAGTTCCTTTCAAATGATGGAGGATATTAAATGTTCGACCCGGCCGAACTTAGCTGTTTTTTACTTATTTTCTAGTTACAATCTTAAACATATGTCGCAATTCAAGTAAATTTATTTTACCTTTGAAAGTATTAGCAGTTTTATACTCGGACTTACCTAGAAAGAGAAAAGAGAACAAAATTAGAATATTTATTGTATTGATGAACAATTTTAACAATGAAATAAGTCTTATAGGTAGTACCCAATGACATCGTGCTGAAGCTCTGAAAGAGGTAAAAACCCTCGACTTAACTGCACAAATATTAACAACTTATTAACAAGCGTTTTTAAATGAATGAAATAATTGTGAATACAATTTTTGGAATTTATGTAAGTAGCTGCATTCCGAAATTGTTTTTTTAACGTTTGTACATGCTCAACCGATTGTTTGTTTTTTTTTAAAGAAAGAAATACGAGAGCACAGCCCATACAATGTTATGAATCAAATTGGCACTATCGCCAACTCATTCTTTAATAATGAATTGACAATAGTTTAATTTGAATGTACTTAAGTTCTAATAGTAAATTATAATCCAGAATACAGCTACAATAATTAAAACTTATTCAGCTGAATGAAATCGTTTTCATATTTGAACCTCAATATTGAGACCTACAAAATACTGAAACATTGTAGTTATGTAAGAGTCAAAAGCTTCGAACTGAAACCTGACATTCCCTCACAGGTTCGTTGCTTTCGCCGTTAACACTTTTATATTCAATTACAGAAAGAAATTTTTCGAAATAGAATAACTGTTCATATGCGTTGTCGTAAATCATAAATAGAACGCGAAAAATCGAAATCTGTTCAGTTGAAATCGAATTGGAACGAAAGGCGCTCTACAAAACGTGTAACGGGATTAGAAAACAAACCGTATTATTGTGAAGTGAAAATATAATTTACAAATCACTGAAATGTGATTTAATAAAAAAAATAGTAAAATGTTAAAACGTTCCATACTACTTAACATATTTGTTACTGCAACAATAGCTTTAACGTACTCGGGAAAGCCTTATATACACATACGACAGGGTGTGAAACCCAACCAATTGATTATCAGTGTTCGACATCCATGTACAAATATTACCCGACAAACAACAACCGAAATTTCCACTCGAATAACCTACGACAATGATTATTACGACGATGAGGAATACCACAAAGGTGACAAAGGCAACATCATCTTTACAACTACCAAGCAGCCGACTGAACGTACACCTTTACCATGGGCCGATACAGAAAATTTTACAACATTGTCAGAAAATTACTCTGCGAAAAATAACAATTCATCAGAAGATAATACAACACCTAAAGATGCAGTTGAAGAAACTACAACACTGGCAGTTGAGACTACTTTAACACCAACACCAACTCTGGAAGAAACCAATTTAGTGACAGAAGAAACTACATCAGCAGCTGCAGAAACTACTACAACCTTAGTAGAGACTACCTTAATAACCCCGGGTTTTGAAGAAACTACCACACCAATAGGCGAAACAACATCAGCAGTTAAGGAAACCACCACAACGACAGTGGAGACTACTGTTGCAACAACACCGGCTGCTGAAGAAACTACCACACCAATAAGCGAAACAACATCAGCATCTGAGGAAACCACCACAACGACAGTTAAAACTACTGTTGCAACAACACCGGCTGCTGAAGAAACTACCACACCAATAAGCGAAACAACATCAGCATCTGAGGAAACCACCACAACGACAGTGGAGACTTCTGTTGCAACAACACCGGCTGCTGAAGAAAGTACCACACCAATAGGCGAAACAACATCAGCATCTGAGGAAACCACCACAACGACAGTTGAGACTACTGTTGCAACAACACCGGCTGCTGAAGAAACTACCACACCAATAGGCGAAACAACATCAGCATCTGAGGAAACCACCACAACGACAGTGGAGACTTCTGTTGCAACAACACCGGCTGCTGAAGAAACTACCACACCAATAAGCGAAACAACATCAGCATCTGAGAAAACCACCACAACGACAGTGGAGACTTCTGTTGCAACAACACCGGCTGCTGAAGAAACTACCACACCAATAAGCGAAACAACATCAGCATCTGAGGAAACCACCACAACGACAGTGGAGACTTCTGTTGCAACAACACCGGCTGCTGAAGAAACTACCACACCAATAGGCGAAACAACATCAGCATCTGAGGAAACCACCACAACGACAGTGGAGTCTACTGTTGCAACAACGCCGGCTGCTGAAGAAACTACCACACCAATAGGCGAAACAACATCAGCATCTGAGGAAACCACCACAACGACAGTGGAGACTTCTGTTGCAACAACACCGGCTGCTGAAGAAACTACCACACCAATAAGCGAAACAACATCAGCATCTGAGGAAACCACCACAACGACAGTGGAGACTTCTGTTGCAACAACACCGGCTGCTGAAGAAACTACCACACCAATAGGCGAAACAACATCAGCAGCTGAGGAAACCACCACAACGACAGCGGAGACTACTGTTGCAACAACACCGGCTGCTGAAGAAACTACCACACCAATAGGCGAAACAACATCAGCAGCTGAGGAAACCACCACAACGACAGTGGAGACTACTGTTGCAACAACACCGGCTGCTGAAGAAACTACCACACCAATAGGCGAAACAACATCAGCATCTGAGGAAACCACCACAACGACAGTGGAGACTTCTGTTGCAACAACACCGGCTGCTGAAGAAACTACCACACCAATAAGCGAAACAACATCAGCATCTGAGAAAACCACCACAACGACAGTGGAGACTTCTGTTGCAACAACACCGGCTGCTGAAGAAACTACCACACCAATAAGCGAAACAACATCAGCATCTGAGGAAACCACCACAACGACAGTGGAGACTTCTGTTGCAACAACACCGGCTGCTGAAGAAACTACCACACCAATAGGCGAAACAACATCAGCATCTGAGGAAACCACCACAACGACAGTGGAGTCTACTGTTGCAACAACGCCGGCTGCTGAAGAAACTACCACACCAATAGGCGAAACAACATCAGCATCTGAGGAAACCACCACAACGACAGTGGAGACTTCTGTTGCAACAACACCGGCTGCTGAAGAAACTACCACACCAATAAGCGAAACAACATCAGCATCTGAGGAAACCACCACAACGACAGTGGAGACTTCTGTTGCAACAACACCGGCTGCTGAAGAAACTACCACACCAATAGGCGAAACAACATCAGCATCTGAGGAAACCACCACAACGACAGTGGAGACTTCTGTTGCAACAACACCGGCTGCTGAAGAAACTACCACACCAATAAGCGAAACAACATCAGCATCTGAGGAAACCACCACAACGACAGTTGAGACTACTGTTGCAACAACACCGGCTGCTGAAGAAACTACCACACCAATAGGCGAAACAACATCAGCAGCTGAGGAAACCACCACAACGACAGTGGAGACTTCTGTTGCAACAACACCGGCTGCTGAAGAAACTACCACACCAATAAGCGAAACAACATCAGCATCTGAGGAAACCACCACAACGACAGTTGAGACTACTGTTGCAACAACACCGGCTGCTGAAGAAACTACCACACCAATAGGCGAAACAACATCAGCAGCTGAGGAAACCACCACAACGACAGTGGAGACTACTGTTGCAACAACACCGGCTGCTGAAGAAACTACCACACCAATAGGCGAAACAACATCAGCATCTGAGGAAACCACCACAACGACAGTGGAGACTACTGTTGCAACAACACCGGCTGCTGAAGAAACTACCACACCAATAGGCGAAACAACATCAGCAGCTGAGGAAACCACCACAACGACAGTTGAGACTACTCTTGCAACAGCACCGGCTGCTGAAGAAACTACCACACCAATAGGCGAAACAACATCAGCAGCTGAGGAAACCACCACAACGACACTTGAGACTACTGTTGCAACAACACCGGCTGCTGAAGAAACTACCACATCAATAGGCGAAACAACATCAGCAGCTGAGGAAACCACCACAACGACAGTTGAGACTACTCTTGCAACAGCACCGGCTGCTGAAGAAACTACCACACCAATAGGCGAAACAACATCAGCAGCTGAGGAAACCACCACAACGACACTTGAGACTACTGTTGCAACAACACCGGCTGCTGAAGAAACTACCACACCAATAGGCGAAACAACATCAGCAGCTGAGGAAACCACCACAACGACAGTGGAGACTTCTGTTGCAACAACACCGGCTGCTGAAGAAACTACCACACCAATAAGCGAAACAACATCAGCATCTGAGGAAACCACCACAACGACAATTGAGACTACTGTTGCAACAACGCCGGCTGCTGAAGAAACTACCACACCAATAAGCGAAACAACATCAGCATCTGAGGAAACCACCACAACGACAGTTGAGACTACTGTTGCAACAACACCGGCTGCTGAAGAAAGTACCACACCAATAAGCGAAACAACATCAGCATCTGAGGAAACCACCACAACGACAGTGGAGACTTCTGTTGCAACAACACCGGCTGCTGAAGAAACTACCACACCAATAGGCGAAACAACATCAGCATCTGAGGAAACCACCACAACGACAGTGGAGACTTCTGTTGCAACAACACCGGCTGCTGAAGAAACTACCACACCAATAAGCGAAACAACATCAGCATCTGAGAAAACCACCACAACGACAGTGGAGACTTCTGTTGCAACAACACCGGCTGCTGAAGAAACTACCACACCAATAAGCGAAACAACATCAGCATCTGAGGAAACCACCACAACGACAGTGGAGACTTCTGTTGCAACAACACCGGCTGCTGAAGAAACTACCACACCAATAGGCGAAACAACATCAGCATCTGAGGAAACCACCACAACGACAGTGGAGTCTACTGTTGCAACAACGCCGGCTGCTGAAGAAACTACCACACCAATAGGCGAAACAACATCAGCATCTGAGGAAACCACCACAACGACAGTGGAGACTTCTGTTGCAACAACACCGGCTGCTGAAGAAACTACCACACCAATAAGCGAAACAACATCAGCATCTGAGGAAACCACCACAACGACAGTGGAGACTTCTGTTGCAACAACACCGGCTGCTGAAGAAACTACCACACCAATAGGCGAAACAACATCAGCATCTGAGGAAACCACCACAACGACAGTGGAGACTTCTGTTGCAACAACACCGGCTGCTGAAGAAACTACCACACCAATAAGCGAAACAACATCAGCATCTGAGGAAACCACCACAACGACAGTGGAGACTTCTGTTGCAACAACACCGGCTGCTGAAGAAACTACCACACCAATAGGCGAAACAACATCAGCAGCTGAGGAAACCACCACAACGACAGCGGAGACTACTGTTGCAACAACACCGGCTGCTGAAGAAACTACCACACCAATAGGCGAAACAACATCAGCAGCTGAGGAAACCACCACAACGACAGTTGAGACTACTCTTGCAACAGCACCGGCTGCTGAAGAAACTACCACACCAATAGGCGAAACAACATCAGCAGCTGAGGAAACCACCACAACGACAGTTGAGACTACTGTTGCAACAACACCGGCTGCTGAAGAAACTACCACACCAATAGGCGAAACAACATCAGCAGCTGAGGAAACCACCACAACGACAGTTGAGACTACTGTTGCAACAACACCGGCTGCTGAAGAAACTACCACACCAATAGTCGAAACAACATCAGCATCTGAGGAAACCACCACAACGACAGTTGAGACTACTGTTGCAACAACGCCGGCTGCTGAAGAAACTACCACACCAATAAGCGAAACAACATCAGCATCTGAGGAAACCACCACAACGACAGTGGAGACTTCTGTTGCAACAACGCCGGCTGCTGAAGAAACTACCACACCAATAAGCGAAACAACATCAACATCTGAGGAAACCACCACAACGACAGTTGAGACTACTGTTGCAGCAACACCGGCTGCTGAAGAAACTACCACACCAATAGGCGAAACAACATCAGCATCTGAGGAAACCACCACAACGACAGTGGAGACTTCTGTTGCAACAACACCGGCTGCTGAAGAAACTACAACACCAATAAGCGAAACAACATCAGCATCTGAGGAAACCACCACAACGACAGTGGAGGCTTCTGTTGCAACAACACCGGCTGCTGAAGAAACTACCACACCAATAGGCGAAACAACATCAGCATCTGAGGAAACCACCACAACGACAGTGGAGACTTCTGTTGCAACAACACCGGCTGCTGAAGAAACTACCACACCAATAAGCGAAACAACATCAGCATCTGAGGAAACCACCACAACGACAGTTGAGACTACTGTTGCAACAACACCGGCTGCTGAAGAAACTACCACACCAATAGGCGAAACAACATCAGCAGCTGAGGAAACCACCACAACGACAGTGGAGACTTCTGTTGCAACAACACCGGCTGCTGAAGAAACTACCACACCAATAAGCGAAACAACATCAGCATCTGAGGAAACCACCACAACGACAGTTGAGACTACTGTTGCAACAACACCGGCTGCTGAAGAAACTACCACACCAATAGGCGAAACAACATCAGCAGCTGAGGAAACCACCACAACGACAGTGGAGACTACTGTTGCAACAACACCGGCTGCTGAAGAAACTACCACACCAATAGGCGAAACAACATCAGCAGCTGAGGAAACCACCACAACGACAGTGGAGACTACTGTTGCAACAACACCGGCTGCTGAAGAAACTACCACACCAATAGGCGAAACAACATCAGCAGCTGAGGAAACCACCACAACGACAGTTGAGACTACTCTTGCAACAGCACCGGCTGCTGAAGAAACTACCACACCAATAGGCGAAACAACATCAGCAGCTGAGGAAACCACCACAACGACACTTGAGACTACTGTTGCAACAACACCGGCTGCTGAAGAAACTACCACATCAATAGGCGAAACAACATCAGCAGCTGAGGAAACCACCACAACGACAGTTGAGACTACTCTTGCAACAGCACCGGCTGCTGAAGAAACTACCACACCAATAGGCGAAACAACATCAGCAGCTGAGGAAACCACCACAACGACACTTGAGACTACTGTTGCAACAACACCGGCTGCTGAAGAAACTACCACACCAATAGGCGAAACAACATCAGCAGCTGAGGAAACCACCACAACGACAGTGGAGACTTCTGTTGCAACAACACCGGCTGCTGAAGAAACTACCACACCAATAAGCGAAACAACATCAGCATCTGAGGAAACCACCACAACGACAATTGAGACTACTGTTGCAACAACACCGGCTGCTGAAGAAACTACCACACCAATAGGCGAAACAACATCAGCAGCTGAGGAAACCACCACAACGACAGTGGAGACTACTGTTGCAACAACACCGGCTGCTGAAGAAACTACCACACCAATAGGCGAAACAACATCAGCAGCTGAGGAAACCACCACAACGACAGTTGAGACTACTCTTGCAACAGCACCGGCTGCTGAAGAAACTACCACACCAATAGGCGAAACAACATCAGCAGCTGAGGAAACCACCACAACGACACTTGAGACTACTGTTGCAACAACACCGGCTGCTGAAGAAACTACCACATCAATAGGCGAAACAACATCCGCAGCTGAGGAAACCACCACAACGACAGTTGAGACTACTGTTGCAACAACACCGGCTGCTGAAGAAACTACCACACCAATAGTCGAAACAACATCAGCATCTGAGGAAACCACCACAACGACAGTTGAGACTACTGTTGCAACAGCGCCGCCTGCTGAAGAAACTACCACACCAATAGGCGAAACAACATCAGCAGCTGAGGAAACCACCACAACGACAGTGGAGTCTACTGTTGCAACAACGCTGGCTGCTGAAGAAACTACCACACCAATAGGCGAAACAACATCAGCATCTGAGGAAACCACCACAACGACAGTTGAGACTACTGTTGCAACAACACCGGCTGCTGAAGAAACTACCACACCAATAGGCGAAACAACATCAGCAGCTGAGGAAACCACCACAACGACAGTTGAGACTACTGTTGCAACAACACCGGCTGCTGAAGAAACTACCACACCAATAGTCGAAACAACATCAGCATCTGAGGAAACCACCACAACGACAGTTGAGACTACTGTTGCAACAGCGCCGGCTGCTGAAGAAACTACCACACCAGTAAGCGAAACAACATTAGCATCTGAGGAAACCACCACAACGACAGTTGAGACTACTGTTGCAACAACACCGGCTGCTGAAGAAACTACCACACCAATAGGCGAAACAACATCAGCAGATGAGGAAACCACCACAACGACAGTTGAGACTACTGTTGCAACAACACCGGCTGCTGAAGAAACTACCACACCAATAGTCGAAACAACATCAGCATCTGAGGAAACCACCACAACGACAGTTGAGACTACTGTTGCAACAGCGCCGGCTGCTGAAGAAACTACCACACCAATAAGCGAAACAACATCAGCATCTGAGGAAACCACCACAACGACAGTTGAGACTACTGTTGCAACAGCGCCGGCTGCTGAAGAAACTACCACACCAATAAGCGAAACAACATCAGCATCTGAGGAAACCACCACAACGACAGTGGAGACTTCTGTTGCAACAACACCGGCTGCTGAAGAAACTACCACACCAATAAGCGAAACAACATCAGCATTTGAGGAAACCACTACAACGACAGTGGAGTCTACTGTTGCAACAACGCCGGCTGCTGAAGAAACTACCACACCAATAGGCGAAACAACATCAGCATCTGAGGAAACCACCACAACGACAGTGGAGACTTCTGTTGCAACAACACCGGCTGCTGAGGAAACTACCACACCAATAGGCGAAACAACATCAGCATCTGAGGAAACCACCACAACGACAGTGGAGACTTCTGTTGCAACAACACCGGCTGCTGAAGAAACTACCACACCAATAAGCGAAACAACACCAGCATCTGAGGAAACCACCACAACGACAGTGGAGACTTCTGTTGCAACAACACCGGCTGCTGAAGAAACTACCACACCAATAAGCGAAACAACATCAGCATCTGAGGAAACCACCACAACGACAGTGGAGACTACTGTTGCAACAACACCGGCTGCTGAAGAAACTACCACACCAATAGGCGAAACAACATCAGCAGCTGAGGAAACCACCACAACGACAGTGGAGACTTCTGTTGCAACAACACCGGCTGCTGAAGAAACTACCACACCAATAAGCGAAACAACATCAGCATCTGAGGAAACCACCACAACGACAGTGGAGACTTTTGTTGCAACAACACCGGCTGCTGAAGAAACTACCACACCAATAGGCGAAACAACATCAGCATCTGAGGAAACCACCACAACGACAGTTGAGACTACTGTTGAAACAACACCGGCTGCTGAAGAAACTACCACACCAATAGGCGAAACAACATCAGCAGCTGAGGAAACCACCACAACGACAGTTGAGACTACTGTTGCAACAACACCGGCTGCTGAAGAAACTACCACACCAATAGGCGAAACAACATCAGCAGCTGAGGAAACCACCACAACGACAGTTGAGACTACTGTTGCAACAACACCGGCTGCTGAAGAAACTACCACACCAATAGTCGAAACAACATCAGCATCTGAGGAAACCCCCACAACGACAGTTGAGACTACTGTTGCAACAGCGCCGGCTGCTGAAGAAACTACCACACCAATAAGCGAAACAACATCAGCATCTGAGGAAACCACCACAACGACAGTGGAGTCTACTGTTGCAACAACGCCGGCTGCTGAAGAAACTACCACACCAATAGGCGAAACAACATCAGCAGCTGAGGAAACCACCACAACGACAGTTGAGACTACTCTTGCAACAGCACCGGCTGCTGAAGAAACTACCACACCAATAAGCGAAACAACATCAGCATCTGAGGACACCACCACAACGACAGTGGAGTCTACTGTTGCAACAACGCCGGCTGCTGAAGAAACTACCACACCAATAGGCGACACAACATCAGCAGTTGAGGAAACCACCACAACGACAGTGGAGACTACTGTTGCAACAACGCCGCCTGCTGAAGAAACTACCACACCAATAGGCGAAACAACATCAGCATCTGAGGAAACCACCACAACGACAGTTGAGACTACTGTTGCAACAACACCGGCTGCTGAAGAAACTACCACACCAATAGGCGAAACAACATCAGCAGCTGAGGAAACCACCACAACGACAGTTGAGACTACTGTTGCAACAACACCGGCTGCTGAAGAAACTACCACACCAATAGGCGAAACAACATCAGCAGCTGAGGAAACCACCACAACGACAGTTGAGACTACTGTTGCAACAACACCGGCTGCTGAAGAAACTACCACATCAATAGGCGAAACAACATCAGCAGCTGAGGAAACCACCACAACTACAGTTGAGACTACTGTTGCAACAACACCGGCTGCTGAAGAAACTACCACACCAATAGGCGAAACAACATCAGCAGCTGAGGAAACCACCACAACGACAGTGGAGTCTACTGTTGCAACAACGCCGGCTGCTGAAGAAACTACCACACCAATAGGCGACACAACATCAGCAGTTGAGGAAACCACCACAACGACAGTTGAGACTACTGTTGCAACAACACCGGCTGCTGAAGAAACTACCACACCAATAAGCGAAACAACATCAGCATCTGAGGACACCACCACAACGACAGTGGAGTCTACTGTTGCAACAACGCCGGCTGCTGAAGAAACTACCACACCAATAGGCGACACAACATCAGCAGTTGAGGAAACCACCACAACGACAGTTGAGACTACTGTTGCAACAGCGCCGCCTGCTGAAGAAACTACCACACCAATAGGCGAAACAACATCAGCATCTGAGGAAACCACCACAACGACAGTTGAGACTACTGTTGCAACAACACCGGCTGCTGAAGAAACTACCACACCAATAGGCGAAACAACATCAGCAGCTGAGGAAACCACCACAACGACAGTTGAGACTACTGTTGCAACAACACCGGCTGCTGAAGAAACTACCACACCAATAGTCGAAACAACATCAGCATCTGAGGAAACCACCACAACGACAGTTGAGACTACTGTTGCAACAGCGCCGGCTGCTGAAGAAACTACCACACCAATAGGCGAAACAACATCAGCATCTGAGGAAACCACCACAACGACAGTTGAGACTACTGTTGCAACAGCGCCGCCTGCTGAAGAAACTACCACACCAATAGGCGAAACAACATCAGCATCTGAGGAAACCACCACAACGACAGTTGAGACTACTGTTGCAACAACACCGGCTGCTGAAGAAACTACCACACCAATAGGCGAAACAACATCAGCAGCTGAGGAAACCACCACAACGACAGTTGAGACTACTGTTGCAACAACACCGGCTGCTGAAGAAACTACCACACCAATAGTCGAAACAACATCAGCATCTGAGGAAACCACCACAACGACAGTTGAGACTACTGTTGCAACAGCGCCGGCTGCTGAAGAAACTACCACACCAATAGTCGAAACAACATCAGCATCTGAGGAAACCACCACAGCGACAGTGGAGTCTACTGTTGCAACAACGCCGGCTGCTGAAGAAACTACCACACCAATAGGCGAAACAACATCAGCATCTGAGGAAACCACCACAACGACAGTTGAGACTACTGTTGCGACAACACCGGCTGCTGAAGAAACTACCACACCAATAGGCGAAACAACATCAGCATCTGAGGAAACCACCACAACGACAGTTGAGACTACTGTTGCAACAACACCGGCTGCTGAAGAAACTACCACACCAATAGTCGAAACAACATCAGCATCTGAGGAAACCACCACAACGACAGTTGAGACTACTGTTGCAACAGCGCCGGCTGCTGAAGAAACTACCACACCAGTAAGCGAAACAACATCAGCATCTGAGGAAACCACCACAACGACAGTTGAGACTACTGTTGCAACAACACCGGCTGCTGAAGAAACTACCACACCAATAGGCGAAACAACATCAGCAGCTGAGGAAACCACCACAACGACAGTTGAGACTACTGTTGCAACAGCGCCGGCTGCTGAAGAAACTACCACACCAATAAGCGAAACAACATCAGCATCTGAGGAAACCACCACAACGACAGTGGAGTCTACTGTTGCAACAACGCCGGCTGCTGAAGAAACTACCACACCAATAGGCGAAACAACATCAGCATCTGAGGAAACCACCACAACGACAGTTGAGACTACTGTTGCAACAACACCGGCTGCTGAAGAAACTACCACACCAATAGGCGAAACAACATCAGCAGCTGAGGAAACCACCACAACGACAGTTGAGACTACTGTTGCAACAACACCGGCTGCTGAAGAAACTACCACACCAATAGTCGAAACAACATCAGCATTTGAGGAAACCACCACAACGGCAGTTGAGACTACTGTTGCAACAGCGCCGGCTGCTGAAGAAACTACCACACAAATAAGCGAAACAACATCAGCATCTGAGGAAACCACCACAACGACAGTGGAGTCTACTGTTGCAACAACGCCGGCTGCTGAAGAAACTACCACACCAATAGGCGAAACAACATCAGCATCTGAGGAAACCACCACAACGACAGTTGAGACTACTGTTGCAACAACACCGGCTGCTGAAGAAAGTACCACACCAATAGGCGAAACAACATCAGCAGCTGAGGAAACCACCACAACGACAGTTGAGACTACTGTTGCAACAACACCGGCTGTTGAAGAAACTACCACACCAATAGGCGACACAACATCAGCAGTTGAGGAAACCACCACAACGACAGTTGAGACTACTGTTGCAACAACACCGGCTGCTGAAGAAACTACCACACCAATAAGCGAAACAACATCAGCATCTGAGGAAACCACCACAACGACAGTTGAGACTACTGTTGCAACAACACCGGCTGCTGAAGAAAGTACCACACCAATAGGCGAAACAACATCAGCATCTGAGGAAACCACCACAACGACAGTTGAGACTACTGTTGCAACAACACCGGCTGCTGAAGAAACTACCACACCAATAGGCGAAACAACATCAGCAGCTGAGGAAACCACCACAACGACAGTGGAGACTACTGTTGCAACAACACCGGCTGCTGAAGAAACTACCACACCAATAAGCGAAACAACATCAGCATCTGAGGAAACCACCACAACGACAGTGGAGACTACTGTTGAAACAACACCGGCTGCTGAAGAAACAACATCAGCAGCTGAGGAAACCACCACAACGACAGTTGAGACTACTGTTGCAACAACACCGGCTGCTGAAGAAACTACCACACCAATAGGCGAAACAACATCAGCAGCTGAGGAAACCACCACAACGACAGTTGAGACTACTGTTGCAACAACACCGGCTGCTGAAGAAACTACCACACCAATAGGCGACACAACATCAGCAGTTGAGGAAACCACCACAACGACAGTTGAGACTACTGTTGCAACAACACCGGCTGCTGAAGAAACTACCACACCAATAAGCGAAACAATATCAGCATCTGAGGAAACCACCACAACGACAGTGGAGACTTCTGTTGCAACAACACCGGCTGCTGAAGAAACTACCACACCAATAGGCGACACAACATCAGCATCTGAGGAAACCACCACAACGACAGTAGAGACTACTGTTGCAACAACACCGGCTGCTGAAGAAACAACATCAGCAGCTGAGGAAACCACCACAACGACAGTTGAGACTACTGTTGCAACAACACCGGCTGCTGAAGAAACTACCACACCAATAAGCGAAACAACATCAGCATCTGAGGAAACCACCACAACGACAGTTGAGACTACTGTTGCAACAACACCGGCTGCTGAAGAAACTACCACACCAATAGGCGAAACAACATCAGCATTTGAGGAAACCACCACAACGACAGTGGAGACTACTGTTGCAACAACGCCGGCTGTTGAAGAAACTACCACACCAATAATAACAACAACGACAGTTGAGACTACTGTTGCAATAACACCGGCTGCTGAAGAAACTACCACACCAATAGGTGAAACAACATCAGCAGCTGAGGAAACCACCACAACGACAGTGGAGACTACTGTTGCAACAACACCGGCTGCTGAAGAAACTACCACACCAATAGGCGAAACAACATCAGCAGCTGAGGCAACCACCACAACGACAGTGGAGACTACTGTTGCAACAACACCGGCTGCTGAAGAAACTACCACACCAATAGGCGAAACAACATCAGCAGCTGAGGCAACCACCACAACGACAGTGGAGACTACTGTTGCACAAACGCCGGCTGCTGAAGAAACTACCACACCAATAGGCGAAACAACATCAGCTACTGAGGAAACCACCACAACGACAGTGGAGACTACTGTTGCAACAACGCCGGCTGCTGAAGAAACTACCACACCAATAGGCGAAACAACATCAGCTACTGAGGAAACCACCACAACGACAGTGGAGACTTCTCTTGCAACAACACCGGCTGCTGAAGAAACTACCACACCAATAAGCGAAACAACATCAGCATCTGAGGAAACCACCACAACGACAGTTGAGACTACTGTTGAAACAACACCGGCTGCTGAAGGAACTACCACACCAATAGGCGACACGACATCAGCAGTTGAGGAAACCACCACAACGACAGTTGAGACTACTGTTGCAACAACACCGGCTGCTGAAGAAACTACCACACCAATAGGCGAAACAACATCAGCATCTGAGGAAAGCACCACAACGACAGTTGAGACTACTGTTGCAACAACGCCGGCTGCTGAAGAAACTACCACACCAATAAGCGAAACAACATCAGCATCTGAGGAAACCACCACAACGACAGTGGAGACTTCTGTTGCAACAACGCCGGCTGTTGAAGAAACTACCACACCAATAATAACAACAACGACAGTTGAGACTACTGTTGCAATAACACCGGCTGCTGAAGAAACTACCACACCAATAGGCGAAACAACATCAGCAGCTGAGGCAACCACCACAACGACAGTGGAGACTACTGTTGCAACAACGCCGGCTGCTGAAGAAACTACCACACCAATAAGCGAAACAACATCAGCTACTGAGGAAACCACCACAACGACAGTGGAGACTTCTCTTGCAACAACACCGGCTGCTGAAGAAACTACCACACCAATAAGCGAAACAACATCAGCATCTGAGGAAACCACCACAACGACAGTTGAGACTACTGTTGAAACAACACCGGCTGCTGAAGGAACTACCACACCAATAGGCGACACGACATCAGCAGTTGAGGAAACCACCACAACGACAGTTGAGACTACTGTTGCAACAACACCGGCTGCTGAAGAAACTACCACACCAATAGGCGAAACAACATCAGCAGCTGAGGCAACCACCACAACGACAGTGGAGACTACTGTTGCAACAACGCCGGCTGCTGAAGAAACTACCACACCAATAGGCGAAACAACATCAGCTGCTGAGGAAACCACCACAACGACAGTGGAGACTTCTCTTGCAACAACACCGGCTGCTGAAGAAACTACCACACCAATAAGCGAAACAACATCAGCATCTGAGGAAACCACCACAACGACAGTTGAGACTACTGTTGAAACAACACCGGCTGCTGAAGGAACTACCACACCAATAGGCGACACGACATCAGCAGTTGAGGAAACCACCACAACGACAGTTGAGACTACTGTTGCAACAACACCGGCTGCTGAAGAAACTACCACACCAATAGGCGAAACAACATCAGCATCTGAGGAAAGCACCACAACGACAGTTGAGACTACTGTTGCAACAACGCCGGCTGCTGAAGAAACTACCACACCAATAAGCGAAACAACATCAGCATCTGAGGAAACCACCACAACGACAGTGGAGACTTCTGTTGCAACAACGCCGGCTGTTGAAGAAACTACCACACCAATAATAACAACAACGACAGTTGAGACTACTGTTGCAATAACACCGGCTGCTGAAGAAACTACCACACCAATAGGCGAAACAACATCAGCAGCTGAGGCAACCACCACAACGACAGTGGAGACTACTGTTGCAACAACGCCGGCTGCTGAAGAAACTACCACACCAATAGGCGAAACAACATCAGCTACTGAGGAAACCACCACAACGACAGTGGAGACTTCTGTTGCAACAACACCGGCTGCTGAAGAAACTACCACACCAATAAGCGAAACAACATCAGCATCTGAGGAAACCACCACAACGACAGTTGAGACTACTGTTGAAACAACACCGGCTGCTGAAGGAACTACCACACCAATAGGCGACACGACATCAGCAGTTGAGGAAACCACCACAACGACAGTTGAGACTACTGTTGCAACAACACCGGCTGCTGAAGAAACTACCACACCAATAGGCGAAACAACATCAGCAGCTGAGGCAACCACCACAACGACAGTGGAGACTACTGTTGCAACAACGCCGGCTGCTGAAGAAACTACCACACCAATAGGCGAAACAACATCAGCTACTGAGGAAACCACCACAACGACAGTGGAGACTTCTCTTGCAACAACACCGGCTGCTGAAGAAACTACCACACCAATAAGCGAAACAACATCAGCATCTGAGGAAACCACCACAACGACAGTTGAGACTACTGTTGAAACAACACCGGCTGCTGAAGGAACTACCACACCAATAGGCGACACGACATCAGCAGTTGAGGAAACCACCACAACGACAGTTGAGACTACTGTTGCAACAACACCGGCTGCTGAAGAAACTACCACACCAATAGGCGAAACAACATCAGCATCTGAGGAAAGCACCACAACGACAGTTGAGACTACTGTTGCAACAACGCCGGCTGCTGAAGAAACTACCACACCAATAAGCGAAACAACATCAGCATCTGAGGAAACCACCACAACGACAGTGGAGACTTCTGTTGCAACAACGCCGGCTGTAGAAGAAACTACCACACCAATAATAACAACAACGACAGTTGAGACTACTGTTGCAATAACACCGGCTGCTGAAGAAACTACCACACCAATAGGCGAAACAACATCAGCAGCTGAGGAAACCACCACAACGACAGTTAAGACTACTGTTGCAACAACACCGGCTGCTGAAGAAACTACCACACCAATAGGCGAAACAACATCAGCATCTGAGGAAACCACCACAACGACAGTTGAGACTACTGTTGAAACAACACCGGCTGCTGAAGGAACTACCACACCAATAGGCGACACGACATCAGCAGTTGAGGAAACCACCACAACGACAGTTGAGACTACTGTTGCAACAACACCGGCTGCTGAAGAAACTACCACACCAATAGGCGAAACAACATCAGCATCTGAGGAAAGCACCACAACGACAGTTGAGACTACTGTTGCAACAACGCCGGCTGCTGAAGAAACTACCACACCAATAAGCGAAACAACATCAGCATCTGAGGAAACCACCACAACGACAGTGGAGACTTCTGTTGCAACAACGCCGGCTGTTGAAGAAACTACCACACCAATAATAACAACAACGACAGTTGAGACTACTGTTGCAATAACACCGGCTGCTGAAGAAACTACCACACCAATAGGCGAAACAACATCAGCAGCTGAGGAAACCACCACAACGACAGTGGAGGCTACTGTTGCAACAACGCCGGCTGCTGAAGAAACTACCACATCAATAGGCGAAACAACATCAGCAGCTGAGGAAACCACCACAACGACAGTGGAGTCTACTGTTGCAACAACGCCGGCTGCTGAAGAAACTACCACACCAATAGGCGAAACAACATCAGCTACTGAGGAAACCACCACAACGACAGTGGAGACTTCTCTTGCAACAACACCGGCTGCTGAAGAAACTACCACACCAATAGGCGAAACAACATCAGCAGCTGAGGAAACCACCACAACGACAGTTGAGACTACTGTTGCAACAACGCCGGCTGCTGAAGGAACTACCACACCAATAGGCGACACGACATCAGCAGCTGAGGAAACCACCACAACGACAGTGGAGACTACTGTTGCAACAACAGCGGCTGCTGAAGAAACTACCATACCAATAGGCGAAACAACATCAGCAGCTGAGGAAACCACCACAACGACAGTTGAGACTACTGTTGCAACAACACCGGCTGCTGAAGAAACTACCACACCAATGGGCGAAACAACATCAGCAGTTGAGAAAACCACCACAACGACAGTAGAGACTACTGTTGCAACAACACCGGCTGCTGAAGAAACTACCACACCAATGGGCGAAACAACATCAGCAGTTGAGAAAACCACCACAACGACAGTAGAGACTACTGTTGCAACAACACCGGCTGCTGAAGAAACTACCACACCAATAGGCGAAACAACATCAGCAGCTGAGGAAACCACCACAACGACAGTGGAGTCTACTGTTGCAACAACGCCGGCTGCTGAAGAAACTACCACACCAATAGGCGAAACAACATCAGCTACTGAGGAAACCACCACAACGACAGTGGAGACTTCTCTTGCAACAACACCGGCTGCTGAAGAAACTACCACACCAATAGGCGAAACAACATCAGCAGCTGAGGAAACCACCACAACGACAGTTGAGACTACTGTTGCAACAACACCGGCTGCTGAAGAAACTACCACACCAATAGGCGAAACAACATCAGCAGCTGAGGAAACCACCACAACGACAGTGGAGACTACTGTTGCAACAACGCCGGCTGCTGAAGAAACTACCACACCAATAGGCGAAACAACATCAGCTACTGAGGAAACCACCACAACGACAGTGGAGACTTCTCTTGCAACAACACCGGCTGCTGAAGAAACTATCACACCAATAAGCGAAACAACATCAGCATCTGAGGAAACCTCCACAACGACAGTGGAGTCTACTGTTGCAACAACGCCGGCTGCTGAAGAAACTACCACATCAATAGGCGAAACAACATCAGCAGCTGAGGAAACCACCACAACGACAGCGGAGACTACTGTTGCAACAACAGCGGCTGCTGAAGAAACTACCATACCAATAGGCGAAACAACATCAGCAGCTGAGGAAACCACCACAACGACAGTTGAGACTACTGTTGCAACAACACCGGCTGCTGAAGAAACTAC